TTAATCGTTAAAATAAATTATAATTCTGAAAGGAAATCCTTTGGTCTCCCCAAAGTGCCGAAGATGAAGTTCAGTGAGGTCTGACGTGTACATTTTGTTGCGCTCAGGTTACTTCGCTAGTACTAGTATTATAGTACTATAGTACTTCTAAAGGGAAGCAAATATTTTGTAGTGATAGCGAGTATAGTTCAGTATGTTTTGCAGCATATTTTCAGGAATGAAGTTTTACAAAGCGAATTAGAAGGCGCACACTCTGCAGTAAAAAGCGCAAAAAATGATCTGGAACTTTTAAATATGGAACGGGATGGTCTGCTTGAAAAAATTGAAAAACTGTGAGTAAGCTTTGCTATGAGTCTTTCTGTTGTTCATGACTATCCTTTTTAGGTCTGAAACCAATACAGAGTTGGATTCATCGTTGAAACGGGAGAAAGACTTAAGTTCTTCCCTCAGATCATCTTTGGAAAAGCAGTCAACTGAAATTGAACGTCTGCATGGAGAACTGGATTCCGCACGGTCTCAAGCGCATTCTTTGGCAGCCAAACTCTCTGAAGTACTCAAAAAATGTGCATTAGAGTTTTTTTTTAAATCAAATTGACGACCATTCGTTTCAAGAGTACTGAAACAATAAGTCGGTTGGAGGAACAACTGAAACATGCAAGAGGAGAACCCACGGACGCAGGAGATGAGACACAAATTTTGCATTTACGCAACAATCCTTTGCAATGTGCAATGGACGAGGTTGCAGAGAGCGAACGTGCGCGAAAGAGAAAGGCGGTATGCTCAGTGGTCCTGTTTATTTTACGCACATCTTCGCGTTTAATTCATTTCCAGGACGACACCTTTGGAGATGAATCATCCGAAGCAAAACGAGCTCGCGAAGAGAAAATCCATGCTCTCGAAGCCCAGTTGAGAAAAAGTGAACGAGATAAAGAGCAAGCTTTGAGGCTTCAGACTGATTTTGCAAAGAAGTACAGGTACATGAAGTGATTTCTATACTGTGAAGCTATATAAAATATCATATTATTATGAAGACAAATGACTACAACTTTAACCGGATATCAAATAAAATTGATGGATGTTGAAGATGGAATTTGCTGTGTAAACAGCGTTTATGATGACA